ATATATATATATATATATAATTGATCAGATAATTGACATTGACTAATTTTAAAATATTAAAATGGTAATTTTACAATTTCTTATAATAAAATAACTAAAATCAATAACTAATTAAAATTAAAAATCAAAAACCAACTTTTTCTCCTCCATCCACCCACACGTACCTACCCGCACTCCAAAACCATAACCACCGCACCCACCCAACGCAAGCGCCATTGCCATCTTCTCCACCTCCGGACCACCTTCATTCCCATCACCCAACAAAGTTTTCATCATAAAGTTTGTATTTCAAGACCAAGTATTGCCATTGATAGATTTAAAGAAATTCAAAAATTGGTACAGAGATAAAAAGATTCATGTAAGCATTCAATCAAAGAAATCCAAAAAATGATGCAGAGATGTTGCTGTTAAACTCACCAAAGAAACCCAAACCATAAAAATTGAAGATTCTTGAAGGCTATTTTGGAGGATCTAGTCCGATGGGTTGCATCTAATTTTCACTTTGATAAATGACTGTGGAGATTTGGAGTTCGATTAAATTGTAAGTTGGGATGCTCAGGGCGAGAGTTTAGGAAAACAGTTTTCTAGTGGGTGTTTCTCTTCTATGAGTGAGTTGATGAGTGTATTGGGGTTTGAAGATTTGAGAAAGAAAAATTTGTTGGGTGATGGAAATTGAGGAGGTGGGGAGATGGCAGTGGTGCTCGCGTTAGGTGGGTGTGGTTGAACTGTCCGATAGTGGTGGTGATGGTTTTGGGTTTGGGGTGGGGGTGGGTGTGTGGGGTGGATGGAGAAGAAGAAGTTGGTTTTTGATTTTGATTTTTAATTGATTAATTGATTTTAGTTATTTTATTATAAAAAAAATGTAAAGTTACCATTTAACATTTTAAAATTAGTCAAAATTATTGTCAATATCAATTGTCTGATCAACTAATGATCAAACTAACAGAAATAATCAATTTGGACCCGCATATGCTAATTTTTGAAATGTTTGGTACTGTCGATGACACAAATGAAATGTTTGTGCAAAGTATGCCACAAAATGAAAAATTCGGTATCGCTATTGCAATTATCCCTAATTTTCTCTAATTTTTATGACCCTATGTGACTGTAGATAGATATCAATCCACTTTACTCAATTTTGTGAGCTCTCTACAATAGAGAATTAGATATTCAGATTGAATTTGTACTATCGTTCTATTTTATTTTCCAAACACGTTAATATATTCAAGCTAACTTTTGTAGCGATTAATGACGTCGTCTCCTTTTCATTTTTTTATGAACAGTTTTGCTATGCTTTCAGATTCTTAAACACCCTAGATGACAGAACACCACATGGCATTTTGTTATTGAGTTGTTTAAAAAACAGTAAACACTATCATTCAATCATTTTTTGCTACATACTTAATCTGTCAATCAAGGTGCTAAATTCATCTGGTAAAATAGCATCGTTCTTTTATGGATATCTTTCCGCCTTATCAACCATTGAAATATATAATGAGGAACACAAACCGTCAATGGAGATCAAAGTATATAGCTATTGATAATATGATTTTTTTTTCTTTTTAATTTTATCTTCAGTTCTCGATGGTGTTGAATACACTACAAAGATTATTTATGATTAAGACTTGACAACATATTACAATCTTAAAAGAGTTGTAATAACTATAAAAGTTTCCAACAATTACAAGATATAATATATTATAACGGAAACTTAACACAAAAGCAGCTGCCAGCAGATAACTGATAGTTTAAGAGCCAACTTATTCATTTAACGACTTATGAGTTAAGCTTATTATTCATGACTAGTTTCATTCTACTGCTTGATCTCTATGTGGTTTAATCTTGATTGGCAGACCATTTACAGGAGCAGCAAGCCCCTGATCAAATCTAATCTTTTCGTTTGGAATAAGTTTCTCCCAACTGTATTTTCTTACCAAATTGTGCATGAAAACTAGTACAACTTGTCGTGCAAATTCATTACCAGGGCACATTCTTGGACCTCCTCCAAAGGGGGTAAAAGTAAATGGCACAGGCCCATCACCTTCAAAATAATTAACTTAAAGGTTAGTTTCTATCATTTATTGTAGTAGGAAAAGTAACTATGAAAATTATGTTTCTTAGCTCATAACCTTCAAATCTTGTAGGATCAAATTTTTCTGGGTTCGGAAAGTATTTGGGATCTTTATGAGTTGAATTCACTGACCAATATATCTGCAACAAATCATGTAGCTGTGTTCATATTGAAATTTTAGTGAAGTAAAGTAGTAATGATAGAGACATGCCTTCCATCCCTTAGGAATGGTGAAGTTTGTATAAGTGATATCATGTAATGCCTCCCTAAAAAATCCTTGAGAAGGTGATGCTATCCTCAGCACTTCATTCATGACGTTCCGAGAATACTTCATTCTATTTGTATCTTCCCAGCTCAACAATTTTTCAGCCCCTTTTAACTTAGCAATCTCATTTTGTTCTGTAAACCAAGAGATGTAAATTTAACAAATACAATGTTATATCAAACATACATATGCGATAGAAGAGATCAGACTGCCCAAAAACTTGATCAAAATTAACGAGAATTCAGAACCTCCTAGATAATTGTGTAATAATTCACATGTATGGGCAAAATAATGATCATGGCATGCAAAAAAAGTTGTAATTAAGAGATTTAAGTAGAAATAATACCTCTTAAAACTTTTGAGTATACTTGAGGATTATCAGCTAGATAGTACACAAGATTTGTGAGCAAAGAACTGGATGTTTCATGGCTGGCAACGAGAAAACCTAAAATAGAGCTTGCAATGTCATTATCACTTGCAAACTTGCCACGTTTGTTAGTTTCAGCGAGCGAGCGAGACAACATATTGCGACTAGTTTCTGAATCTTCTTTTTCTGATAAATAGAGTCTCTTTTGCCTGACGATTTTTCGTAGCTCCCCACGAATGACTTTAGCAGCCTTTACAGCATTACTGAAAGGAGTGCCGGGGATATCGACTGGCAACGAGAAAAGTCCAGCGTTAACAAGAACGAACTGATCTGCCAATTTGGCCATGTCCGTGGGATCTTCAATGCCCAAGAACAGCTTGCAGGATAAGGCAAATGTAAACTTCTTGGTCAAAGGGTGAACCTGAATTTTTTTTTTCCCCATAAAATGAGACGTTCAAATTATATAAATCTTCATATCCTATACTGATAATAACTGTGAATATTATTGTATATAATATGACTATTGAAATATGAAATAATATTCAAAGTATAGGTGTTTGGTTTAATTTTCTTAATAATGTTGATGTAAATCCGCGTGCCAACGGATTTCTTGAGTGTTCGCTGTGAGGTTTCTTCATACCTGCTAAGCTAACTATTCTTTGACCCAATTCTTTTTCTAAGGTTAAAAAAATATACAACATTTTAAGATGGAACTTAGAGTTCAAACAAGTAATGGAATTCCAAATCAAAAGAGCCACTATCTTGAATGTGAATGGTTGTTTAAACAAGTAATTAATACATATGTCCAGAAAAATTCTCATATTCTTTAAATATGAAAATAAAAATATTTAGATACTATTAGAGAGGATATTGGGCCTAACTCAACCTAACAAAATCGACTTGTTAGGGGAAGATTGCCCTCACTTTATTAAGTGGATCGTGTTAATATCACCAACCAATGTGGAATTCTAATAGATACACAGTTGACATTTTAAGATGAAATCTCATAACTAGATACTAGCATACCTTTAATGTTTGGTTTGAAGCCCATTCATCTTCCAAATGTTGTTTCGTACTATGATCTATGGCATGAATGTATTTCTTGACAACTTCTGGCTTCAAAGATTCAAAAAAAATGTTCCTCCACATGGCCATTTCCTCTGATCCAAGAGTAGAGTTTATTTCTGAGAGCAAAATCTTTTGTACAGAGTGAGGAATCCATGATTTTACGAGCTTGTTTTCATTTGAAAAAACAAACTTATTTCCTGAAGGGCCACAAAGTACTGCCATTTTTTCTCCTATCAGGGAGGTCTTGAAGATATCTGAGGAGAAATTGTTCGTCCTATTAGATATGAATCTCTCAGGATGGCCATTTCTGCTAGACATGAAGAAATCAAGAATTTCACCAATTATCGGCCATCCCAATTTGCCAGGGGGAAGCTTTACATTGATCGGGTTCGTTATGTTACTAATTATGGAGAAATACATCAACAAAAAGACGGCTACAATGGCAAGGATAGAGAAGCAGATAAAGAGATCCATCTCTTCTAGCATGTTAAACGGCCAAGAAAATTCAAGACTGAGAGGATTGGTCTCCTCCTTTCTACTCCCAAAACTCTTATATAGACCACTGACCGTTGAACCATAGTTATAAACAATGTATTACTGAAACTAAAGTAGTATACTGATTGGAAACTTACGCAATTTTTTTTTAAAAAATAAATTGAATAATATATTTTCATTTTTCTTCTTATTTCAAGCTTGTTGATATTTTTGGAGTCCTATTTGTTTTCTACCTGAAAATATGTATATAACGAGTAAAAATCATTATTGGCATCCAGTTCTCAAGGCCAACCCGTTCCGTGTAAAAATTAATTTAAAAGTTTAAGCATTTAGAAATATAGCTAAATCTATTCATTTAAATTATGTTTTCAATACACTCGTTGCTCATTATATGTACTATGTAACATCCAAAGTAGTTTTTTCATGAAAGTCGTGATACTTGGACAATTTTCACTGACTACCGTGATAAAATTGAATAATAATAGAGAATGAATAACTTGATACGAGTTTAATTAAATATTAGAGAATGTTATTAATTTATTCAAACATTCATTTATCGAGTTTATTGTACCAATATTAATTTTTTAATGAGAAACTTGATATGTGCACAATTTTTTGATGAGATTGACTGCTCTAATATAATGTTGAACTAACCTATTTTGAAAAATATAAGTTGTTATAGAGCATAAATTTATTTATTTAAATTAAATATTCAATCTAAATTATTTTGTAATTCAATTGTATAGCACTGGATGCAGAAAATAAAGATACTATAATTTTGTCCTAGTTCCATTGACTGCTACAAAGTGTGTACCCAAATACCTCTATCCATGTCTATCCTCTAGTTCACACCTAACACACTACCAATACATAATATATCAATATTTAATAAAAAATTATAAGTATATGCTTAAAAGTAAATAAGTTTTAACATAAATACTTTTTAGTCAAAGTTGAAAATATATAAATTACTTATTCCAAAAGTAAAGCTTCTGTAATTTCAAAATAAGTATTTTTTTAATAATAAATAAAAAATTTAAATATGTAAACATATTTTTTTTAAAAAAAAATTACTTAAAACTTACTTTCAAGTAACTTTTAAGAATCAACACAAATTGTACTCCCAACATTTAAAAAAAAAAAGCATATAAATGCATATACTTGTACCAGTTATATAGAAACCAAGGATGTTGAAGATAAGAGTTGAGATCTGTTGTCCAAAATTGACTTTCCAATTTGTTGTCCATCAATGATTCATTGACACATCATTTTACACTTGTTTTTTAGCACAAGTTACAGTGGGAAAAAAATTGGACATGCTAATTTAAAGTGATTTGTCAATGAATTATTGGGTGGACAATAAGTTAGGCAATCAATTTTGGAAAGGAAATCTGAACTCTGAAAATATTAAAAATACTAGAAAGCATTTATTAATGAATTAAATAATGGTTATCACATGGAATTGGTAGTTGTTGAGTTGAAATAAGTACAATTTTCATTGAAATAATGCATCATTTAGTGATTTCTACGTCATTATTTTTGTAGTCGTATTTGTTTTCTAATTGACTCCTAACACTCTCAAATCTTCATTGTGAGGTTCCACATAACTTTTGAGTAATAGCATTTCAGTCCCCAAATTTCATTTTCTTTCGTTTTGGTCCTTTTTCGCTTATTTCTTTCAAATTACGCCACATCCATAAAATTGCCACCTAAATTAAAATATGAACGTAATGAGTACATTTTGACATTGATTAATCATACGAGCACATAAAATAAGGAGGAAAAAAATATGCATTTTACATTCTTTTCTGTAGTTGTATATGTTTTCTACCTGTAAATATGTATATAAGGAGTAAAAATCAATATTGGCATCCAGTTCTCAAGGCAAACCCGCTCCATGTAAAAATTAATTTAAAAGTTTAAGCATTTAGAAATATAGTTAAATCATTTAAATTATGTTTTCAATACGCTCGTTGCTCGTTGTATGTACTATGTAAGATCAAATGTAGATTTTTCATGAAAATCGTGATACTTGGACAATTTTCACTGAGATTTGAATTCAAGACTACCATGATAAAGTTGAATAGTATTAGAGAACGAATAACTTGATACGAGTTTAATTAAATATTAGAGAATGTTACTAATTTATTCAAATATTCATTTATCGAGTTTATTGTACCAATAGTAATTTTTTTATGAGATACTTTATACGTGCACAATTTTTTGATGAGATTGACTGTTTTAATATAATGTTGAACTAACTTATTTTGAAAATATAAGTTATTATAGAGTACACATTTATTTATTTAAATTAAATATTCAATCTAAATTATTTTGTAATTCAATTGTACAGCACTGGATGTAGAAAATAAAGATATTAAAATTTTGTCCTAGTTCCATTGACTACCACGAAACAGGCTAAGGCCTAACTCAAGTATACGAACAAATCTTTATTAGGTCATTAACTTTAGTTCGAGTTTACTTTGAAGAGTAAAATTGAAATTAAAATACGTTGCATATCTAAAGTATCCGTCAATATCTAGTATTTTCTACAAATTGTGTACCCAAATACCTCTATCCAAGTCTATCCTCTAGCTCACACCTAACACACTACCAATACACGGGCAGAGCCGGAAATATTTTAGGTTGGGTTGAATTTTTTTTTTTTTCAATGAACTTGTAAACTAAAAGATGTTCTAAACCACATGATAAAATAAAAATTGGACCCAAAATCGGACAAAATCATGCACAGCTAACTCATTATGACAAAACCGTTAAAAACCTACTGAACCGGCCGGTTCAACCGTAAACCGATGAATTAGTCACAGTTTGGTGGTTTTCCTGATTTTTTTTTT